GGAGTAACGCGCGGCCCTCAGATGCCAATTTTGAAAGCCAGGAACCTTTGGTCTCCAGAGGTCGGTGTACCTACTCTCTCCCGCCGCCACACAACTATATGGGTAAATGTCATAGTCTGAAAATGCTCTCTGGGTTTGACATGCTTGTTCAAAGCAAGAGGTAGGTATCTGTACTTTTCCGAATTGTTTTATAGTGGTAAGGTCATAAATCCGCGTGCCCGACCTTCCAGTATATGCTACACCGATCCGTCGCCATGGTGCAGTGGCCCGACCGGTGGAAACACCGTGGGACGGGAAATGGAACTGGTGATTTTGCCTTAAATTGTGCTTAAAGATTCGACGCAAGAATGACATGGATGAAGCATAATTAGTGCCAACTGCACGGCGCCTCGTGGACGTAAAAATTAGCCGATCACCCCCCCCCCCCTCCGGTGACGGATAAATGTTATGTCCCGCGAGTGTGAGTTTGGCTCCCCCCCTTTTTCTAGCGGCTGCGACCGCCAGTGCCGTTAGATAACGGTATTGCTCATGAAAAAGCCGCGATTGTAGTAGCAGTAAAAAGCAGTAGTAGCACTGCTGATGGATGATGGAATGACATTCATGGGGTGGAGGACTTTTTATCAGCTCACAACTTAATATCACGAATATGACAACCTTCTAGTCCTCCATTTATTTCACATTTTCTTTTCAAACACCATATTTTTAGTATTCAAGTTGTAGTTTTTTTAGGGGGGGCAAAAAGATATGTTTGCCCAGAGGTTTTCCGTTTAGGGGGGGCAATTGCCCATTTTGCCCCAACGTAGATCCGCCACTGTGACCTTGACCCTGACCTTGACACCTGTACATCGTCGAACAACATGTTCCATGATAGGTGGGAGGTACGATTGGCAAAAAAGGCCGAAATCAAGGTGTCAAAAGATCACAAGGCCCATAGCCAACGCAAGATGTTGAGAATTGGCAATTTGGGTCATGACATGACGTGAAAAACAAGGTCATATCTCCGAAACCAAAAACCACAGAAACTTGAAATTTTCAGTGGACATCAAGAAAGGATAGAGGAGCAGGTATACTAAAAAGCAGCTTCCTAGCTCTAAAAATGTTGAGTGCAGAGCAGAAAGACTACCTGGGGGGTGGCAACCCCCCCCCCCATGTGCGGGCGAGGGCTAGGGTAAAAATTTCACAAATTGTCCGAAATTGATGTACAAAAAGCTACTCCAAGCGGCGCGGCGCTACGCACCGCGGTTTTTTATTCACACGCAAAAAACGCGACAGGATGGTAACATATGCCCCCCCCCCTCACTGGGGCGAAGGTTAAACCGCGCACCGACGGGGGTCTGCGCCAACTTCGTACCGACGGGGGGGGGGCGGATGACCGCCCCCCTGAGATCTCGAGAACGAAGCAAGATAGCGACAAGCGGTAAACGGCATCGGATACGCACGGCCAAGATCTACAATTTTTACTAAGGTCATTTTCAGGTCAGGTCAAAGATGACGTCACAGGGGTCGAAAAAGTCAAAATGGCGGTGCTAGATATGAAGTTTTTCTCGAATAACTTTCGAATTAGTCAAGATAGGAACAAACTAAGGACATCATCGTGATCCTCTCGTCAATCCGCATCGAATGATATATATGTTGACCTCGAAAGGTCAAGGTCAAAGATTGACCTCAGGTCACGTGACCTCGAGGTCATCATTTATATCAATCGATGCGTCTTGATGAGCTGAACACAATGAGACCATCCGCGCGGCTGTATCTTGTTCCTGTACGGAGTTATTGGCAAAAAAACTTTGGTGACCTTTGATGACGTTACATGACCTTACAGCTGCCCAACAGCAAAACTGACCTCAAGGTAGTGAAGGTTGATTGTATATGAAGTCATGTATGGTATATGGGGCCATTCCGACCCGTTTTAGTAGTAAAAGCAGGGAGTTGATTTTTCCCCCATTGACTTATAATGGGAAGGTCGAGAAATTGACCTGACCTTAGGTCACAGATATCAAAATTCCGAGATAAAAAAATTGTAGCTACTAATAACCTAATAACATCCTGCGACTTTCAAAGGCCTCCGACATCTAGTGTAGCTCTGGAATGGTGACAAAGTTGCAATAAAGTGACTTGAGGTTGGGTCATTCAAAGTGACCTGGTAACCTGACCTTAAAAGTTACGAGGTTCAAACTTGCACACCATGTGTAAAATTGATGAGAGAATAGTCGTACCAAATTTCGCGGCGCTACGCACCGCGGTTTTCCCGCTATTCGCAAAAAACCTCAGGGGGGGGGCGGATATCCGCCCCCCCGTCGGTGCGCGTGTTAACTACGACCTTGGAGGACCCGATACTGGCCTAAGAACCTACGTCTGAGCGCCTATGAAGGTCCCTGAATTCCCAAGCCCATGCCAGTCACTGCTCGGGGTTACATGAGCAGAGTTAATGCGCATTACAAACGGACTACAATGGTGAGCGAATAGGAAAATCCGTTCCTGATACGCATTTACTTGCTCATGTAACCCCGGTAACTGAGAGCCTAATGCGCCGTCTGATGGCTAACATCGCCCTTGGAGCGAGCAACAGCGACCTCCATTCCTCAAGAACGTTGATTTGAGAAGCCGCTATGTCGGACGTCGGTGTCAGTGGGCTCAGCGTCTCGGTTTTCGATTCCTTGTGGAAATTGAGCCTTGGTTTTTCGGTTTAAACCAAAATTCATCCGAAAAATGGTTAGGTTTTCTTTGAACTCTAGAAAAAACGCCAATTTTTCATCGAATTCGGGAGCTGCAGGGAGGGGGGGATGAACTCCACCAACTCTCCACCAAATTTGCTTGATTTAATCCGAGTTTGTGCCAATAAACATGGTGATGATGATGATGATGATGAATTCGCCCAAAATGCCTACCCTGGATCCGCCAGCGAGGTTTTGTTTTTGGGTCGGACCCCACCCCCCCCCATCCCAAAACCGTGGCGGAGCCCCTGTTTGGCTATAACCTATATGTTTTAACTAAAAACAGCTTATATAATATATAATTTGATAATATACTATTTGGTTGTATTTCATTGAAAGTATCCACGGCCGGCTGACGGCTGGCTGCCCACAGTTTGCCACGGCTGTGGGCGGCTGTGGCTGTGGAGCCACGCCTGTGGGGCGGCTAGGCTGTCGAAAATTGCAGCCGTGCAGAACTCTACTGCTGGACACCGCTCGGCTCGGCGGGGGGGGGGGGGGGCGGCTCGCTGGTGGACCGGCGTCCAGCACCGGGCCCAGCCGAGCCCAGCTGCCGCCGGCTGGCCAGCCACGGGTCGAGAGCACCGCGCGGCCATACCGTCGAGGGGGAGGGGACACCGGGCGACGGTGAGGTACCGCCGTGTACGGGGATGAGACGAGACATGAGCCGCACCCACCGACCTCTACAGTGACCTGACCCGGACCCACCGGCCTCTACAGTGACCTGACCTATATACCCACCGACCTCTACAGTGACCTGACCCGGACCCACCGACGCCCACTCCAAACTGCGCCGTTCGGCCGAGCAGATAGCTGTTCCGCCCCGTCCCCTCCCCGGACCGTCGCCGGGTCCACCGCACCATCCTGCCTGCGGCTCTGGGACTCGGTGGTACTAGTCCGGCTATCTGCCGTCCTTCCTGTCAGCTGCAGCTGCAGCGGCGCGGTCACCGTCCCTGTGTGGTGCTCGGCGGTGACTGAGTCATGACTCTGTATAACTCAGTAGAATCGTCGTGAGTCAATGTCGGTACGGGCCGGACCTGTAACAGACAACAAACACAACGGAGTCACAACAAACACACAACAAACACCATAGATGATATATGTGACACACACACTACACAGCACACGGAGTCGCCATAAACAGCAAACAACATCTGCGTGACAAACAACACAGACTGGTTTATCGTCAATATATATTGCACCACGGTCCACTGTGCACTGTCCATTACTTATCACTGTACCGGTCATCTGACAATGTGTGTAGTAAACACCACCAGAAGAGGGGGACCCACCTGTGAGGTCTGGGCAGAGCAACAGGAGCAGCGGACAGAGGAGGGGAGCACAGAGCCGCAGACAGAGCACGTCAGCGACACTAGCGCCGCCTACCGGTCTGGTCGGGAACCTGTGGTTGTCGAGTACACCGCATGGAGAGGAGAATAGGACGAGAGGTTAGTGATCTCCTGAATACCACCCCCACTGGCGGATACAGTCGCCACCACGACCAAGATGATGCTGTCGGAGAACCCGTGCGTCCTCTGGACACTGCAGCAGAGCCGACACCTGACCACGTCGTCATTAGAAGCGGAAACAGCGGTACAGGTGGCGTCACATGTCAGGTTCCTGCAACACACTCAAATCTGGTGAATACTACAGTGCAATACTTACGTGTGGCTCTGTGTGGCTATTAGCATGACCCGCAATCCGCCACGTGGAGGCTGCCACATCGGACTGCGTCTCTGTTATCGCCCGAGACCCCTCAGGTAGTGCAGAGCCCACCATTTCCTGAGGGAAGACAGGGCAGCCATCCGGCCCCGAGCATCCCATCTCGGTGTGTGCTGCTCGTAGACAGACTGCCACCGGGTGACAGACGGCTATACCCAACACACGGCCGACGGCAGCCGGTTGTCCAGTACTCGACTGGCTCCGGACGGCCGTACCAGGTGACCGTGGGGGCTGAAAGGATACCCAGGAGTCAGCTGACACGGCTGTATAACGACTGAGCGGCTGTCCCCGGGCTCTGGTCACCGTCATGGCGACAGCTGGCCGCGCGGGGAACTGGCGACGCTCCCAGCTGAAGGAAAACGCGTCATCACGGGACTGGTAATGCAATAATTATGGGTCTGGGGTCATTTGTGAATGCTGCTAAATACACATCGCCTCGTATCAAGTATATTCACAAACGTTGGGACATAAATAGGTAAGCATCATGCAAAAATCGCCCACCAAACTAACCTGCCTCTGGGAGGCCTCTGATCCTGTGACGGGCGAGTGTGCGGCAGCTGAAATGACGGACTGCCGGATTGGCTCCGGCGGTCGACGGCTCAGCTGCGCCAGAGCCGCACACCCGCCTCCGTCAACCTGCCGGTGCAGTAAATGGACAAGTTATTCTTCCAGCAGATTTATGCATGACGTCATCTTTATATTTCCCGTTTTACTTTTATTAGCATCATGCACTACTGTATTACTAATACTACCAGTATAACGCCTTTTGGGGGCGACTAACGGAGCGAGCGAGAGGGTGAGCCTTGCACGTGCGAAATTTCGACGGGGTACCTCCAGGCTCCAACTGACTTGCGCACGGCACCCTACTAACCGGTCTCTAGCGTTGTGCCAAATTTGAGCACAATCGGCCCAGCCGTTCTCGAGATCTAAAAGCGGCACCCTGCACGTGCGCACGTGGAAAATGGGTCCCATCTGACTTTTGCGCGGCACCCTAATAACTGGTCCCTAACCGTGTACCAAATTTGAGCGCCATCGGTCCAGCCGTTCTCGAGATCTGGAAACGACACCTGCACGTGCGCACGTGCAGCAGCATCCCAACTCTGGCACATGGATATGGATTGCCTAGCGAGTGCCTACCTACATGCCAACTTTCAGCGCAATCGGCGCTGAAAGTTGGCGATTGCGCCGATTGTTAGATACGATTGCGCCGATACTACGCTCGCTTCGCTCGCCCCGTAACTAGTTACTGTATTGCTAACTACTGTATTATCGAGATATAGTAGTCTAGGGTGGCATGTAACAAAAAAGAACTTAATAAAAATACACTTTCTAAAAATACGCAATACATAATGCAAAGGACTACACAAAAATACCAAAATACATATCTAAAATAAAAATATACGGGACACGGGAATAGGGACGCACGGGACATTGATCCAGGAAAATATGTTCATATCAATAAGCAGATTCCGCGGGTGTACTCACGCCCGCTGGTGGTGGGCTTGGTCCTGAGGCCGGCGGTGCTGGTGGTGGTGCTGCCAATGCTGGGACGGCAGCTGAAAGACCAGAGATGAATATCCAGCACCTAGCTATTGACAGTTGATTGTCAGTTACAATTTAATGCCGAGCCAAAAATCGCATATCCATGTAATTCGTTATCTGTCACACAATCTAGAAAGTGTTGAGTAATGTACAAAGTACAGGACGTCTACGAGATATCCTATCCTCGAGATCCTATCTTTGAATCAATATTGGAAATGCAGAAGAGTAAAGCTTATGCCAAACGCTCACTAGGTACTTGTTTAATTTTGAACGAAGATCGTCAAACTGCGCCACAAACGACTGAACAGAGCGACACATTGGCCTCTGACCACCAGAGCGGTGTGTTGTATTTCACCGTCTCAGCTGCGCCGCCGCCACTCACCCGTCTCAGCCGGTCGGAAACGGGAAGCTGAAATTGAGGGCCGCCATCAAAAATAAATAGAGACAATACAAAGGGCTAACCGGTAAATGATGAAAAACACATTCACCTCCCATGAAGTGCAACTACAAAGGTTGAATCACAAATATGCATCACACAAGAAGCGTCCCACAGACTAACCTGTCTCGGGAGGCCTCTGATCCTGTGACGGGCGAGTGTGCGGCAGCTGAAATGCCGGACTGCCGGATTGGCTCCGGCGGTCGACGGCTCAGCTGCGCCAGAGCCGCACACCCGCCTCCGTCAACCTGCCGGTGCAGTAAATGGACAGATGGTTACTCCAGCTGATGTATTTACGATATGATCGGCATGTTCCTAGTTGTATTTATTTATTTTTAACATAAGAGGACTAAATAAAAAAGGCACACGGGGACGGGACATGGGGAACGGAACACAGGTCATTGACCCAGGGAAATATGCTCACATCAATTAGCTGATTCCGCTGGTGTACTCACGCCCGCTGGTGGTGGACTTGGTCCTGAGGCCGGCGGTGCTGGTGCTGGTGCTGCCAATGCTGGCAGGGATCTGCAATATAATTGTTAAATATTGGCCGTTTTCACGACGGAACTTTCGCGGTGGAACCTATTTGAAACCTGGAAAGTACCTACCCTTTGAGGCCTAAACTACAGCTGAAGTATTTTATCTTCAAAATATTTTTAGAAGTTGTAGGCCGGGCAGTTTTTGCCCTCAATCACTTACTTTTTACAAACAAAGCAATTTTCGGTTCTAGTATCTCGTCTTTCTACTATGAGGGAGCAAATCAGCGTTGGTACCCGCCAGCCGGCTTCTGGTTCATCGGCCCGACGCTGCGCCCCCGCCGCCGCCCTAGCAATGACATTGACCTCCGCTGTCTGCTGCGGTCCAAAGCCAATCCATCGTGGAATTTGAAGAGCTCGGTCACCCGCAGCTGGCAGCTCAGTATATTGTTTAAACATTGTACTAGCACTATATACATTTAATAATTTTATAAACGTGCTTACGCTTTAGGTTTACGTGAGTTGTAAACCCTTAAATAAAATAAATTAATGTAATATTTAACCCTCGCCCGCACATGCCATTTTCCCATCCTAGAACGCACATGGGGGGGGGGGGGTGGTTGCCACCCCCCCCGCGCCATTTCGTTCCTGTTGGAGATAGAGCTTAGCGGTAAAGACCAAAAACATTCTTTGGGAAGAGACGAATCTAATGATACCCAGTTTTACCTTCTCAGGTCAGTCATTGACCTTCCAGGTCAGGTCAAACTAAAAAATGTTGCTGTTTTGGGTCACCGTTTGATATCAAGTGCGCTGCTTATCATATACCGATGACGATGCCGTTTTCTGGTGCCAAGCCAGCTAGAACCTCTTTGTCACACTACCCGACCAGGTTTTTGCTGCTGAGGTCATTTCAGGTCAAGTTAGGTCAAGGTCAGTTATATGTGTTTGTATGTCTGTGTGTGTCTGTGTGTATACTGATGTGTGCACCGATTGTTTATGTGTCCATATTACATGAAATCATGATCTGAGAAGCTTTTACCAAAATGCAGTCAAAAAACTTCACAAAAAGTAAATTCCGCTTGCCTAAAACGCAATTATCTTAGATGACCTAGGTTGACCTTGACCTTGACCTTGACATCTGTACATCGTCGAACAACATGTTCCATGATAGGTGGGAGGTAAGACTGGTAAAAAAGGCCGAAATCAAGGTGTCAAAAGCTCACAAGGCCCATAGCCAACGCAAGATGTCGAGAATTGGCCATTTGGGTCATGACATGACCTGAAAAACAAGGTCATATCTCCGAAACCAAAAGTTACAGAAACTTGAAATTTTCAGTGGACATCAAGAAAGGATAGAGGAGCAGCTATACGAAAAATCAGCCTTCTAGCTCTAAAAATGTTGAGTGCAGAGCAGAAAGACTACCTGGGGGGGTGGCAACCCCCCCCCCCATGTGCGGGCGAGGGTTTAATAGAAAAGCAGCTAAGTAACGGGACACTCATTCGAAAGGTTGAAAACCTACTATAAATAATTACTAAAATTTCTGAGGTATCAAAGGACCAAACAGGTCTATAAGGTACCCGATATTCCGTCATGAAGACGGCTATTTAGCACTTGCACCATTTGTATACATGGCAACATGCAACATTGTTTTTCCTGACATGATCACTGGTCATGCACATAGGTATCGTTTACGACTACGAGACTCATGGCAATATGTCTAAGATGAAGGTAGCAATAAACTTATACCAACCACACAAACCATGGTGTGTCAAAAGTGGAAATAGCCGCCCGGCTTTAGTTCGCCAGCCTTGTCAATAGATGGCAGTACCACAATATGGGCAGCGGATCGTGCAATTGACGTCAAATTTTCGTCATCTGCTAAGAATTGAATGGCGGATCTTTTCATGCAACAATCAAGTAAATCGGTCCACAACTTTTCTAGCAACAGAGCTATGAAGTCAAACACCGTGCCAGAGCGGCGGCGCGGCGGCCGGCGGCAGCCGTTACGCGCCGCCTGGGAGACTGGCGGCGCGACACGGTTCCGACTTGGCACTGCACTAAAACCTGTGAACTGCTTGGAACAGTTATTATAGCAAAATTTTCATTCAAGTGAGGAATAACCAAGGGCAGGAAGTATGTATGCTTGTGTGCGTACTATGTAAGCCAAGAAACAGCCTTAGCAGATACTCGCTAATATTAGATCCAGCCAATTCCAAACGCATTCCAGGTGATGTGTTTCTGATGGGTCAACAATATTTATCGTTCGAGGGCGGATACAGTTTTAACCATACAAAAAATATTTTTGCACAGCTCTATTCCTTGAATAATTCTCTTCAACGCCTCATTCCTAGTTAAGCGAATTAGCCCACCCTGGTTGAATAAATAAGGCGATTTCGCCACAAGGTCGGGGAAAACCGACCGAAAACGGCCGCGCTCAACGTTAATTTGGGCGTGCAGACTCTTAAAAACTCGCATTGGGCGGGTAGGGTTTCCCAGGTATTGGCTCCAAAACACCGTATTCGGCTCCCGAATACGTCCAAGTGACCCGCCTCGTTCCTAGTTAAGCTCTAATTAGATCAAGTGACTCATAGGGAGCGAAAAAGCGACAAAAAGCATGAATTTCCCTATGGCGGCGGGCTGCCGGGTTGCCAGACGGCGCACCGGCTATTTCCACTTTTGACACACCATGAGCTGCTTGATAGTACGATCAAATCAATGCATTGATAACACATACACAATTTATGCCTGCCTGTCCGCTGCCCAGAAAATATCAAAACACTCACGGAGGCTGGTGGTGGTGATTCCGGAGCTGCTGGTGGCTGGTCTGAAAGAGAAGAAATTACCATTGACCGCAAATTGATGCAACTGTTAAAAATACAATGGATTCACCTCTGAACCAGAGTCTAATGGTCAGAAAAAATCATGACGGAATCAGTTATCAATATTTGAGTAAGGACAGTACAGCAGTTCTTCCATTGCATTGATCATGAAGCAGAAATTACTGACAAAATATCCTGTGCAGCAAAACAGAAAATCAGTTTTTCGTTTTCAGGTTCAAAGATCAGCCACTCACGGAGGCTGGTGGAGGACTTGATCCCGGAGCCGGTGGTGCTGGTGGTGGTGCTGGTGGAGGACTTGATCCCGGAGCCGGTGGTGCTGGTGAATGTGCTGGTGATGGTGATGGGCCTGAAATAATACACATGTTTTATGTATTAGGTACGCAGAGACCAATTAGCGTTACATATAATACAGATATAGTAAAACTGCTAAAAACACAACAGATATTAGGGGAAGTTGGGGCAATGCCGAAGTTGGGGCAAAGCCGAAATTCGAGATATTTCGAAAACCGTACGACATGGATGCCACCTGTCAGTGATGCTCTGAAGCTTAAGTGACTACCAATTATCGCATGTTTGTTACCAGTCGTCATTCGGAATACTTCGGCTGTGAGGGCGCCAAGAGAGTTTTCAAGGTACGTTTCCTTTGAACTACATGCGTCTTCGAAGCTGCATTTCCTACTCATTATGCTACCGTTTGTCTGGCCAATTCGGTCAAGTAATCTTCAGCATGTCTTTGCATAAGTGTGCTGCCTATTTGAAATCCATACGGCATGTTGAAAAGTTACGGGCCTGCAAATGAAAGTATGGCTGGCTGGGGTAATGCCGAAAGCGTGCAATTACGCGCGTTAACCCGCGCGGGGCTGGGGGGGGTAAATTTTACCCCCCCCCTCGCGAATTTTTGCAATATCTCAAAACCAGCGGCGCGCAGCGCCGCCAAACTTTCTGTACCTTTTCTTAGACTAATTTGACACGTTCCCTGAAAATTTGAGCGAAATCCACCGGAAATTTTTTGAGAAATTGACGTTTTAGTGACGTTATGTTCGCCATTTTCGCCTCAAAAACGTCAAAAGTTCAAACGCCGCTAACATCTTCATTTTTCAAGGAATCAAGACGTAACAAAAAAGGATATACGTAATTCTACTTTGTCTATCAAATGGCCATCTCGGTTTTTTGAAAATTTTGGATTTTGGCCCAATTTTTTCAAAAAACTGACTTTTTTGGGAAAATAGCTATACAATCCAAAATTTTGAGTGTATAAAAAACCGGAATATATGTCAGAGAAGTGGTCTATGTGCACCTACATACCAAGTTTTAGAAGAATCGGTTCAAAAATGTGGGAGTTATTCAAAATTGTATGACGTCACGACACAATTTTTTTTTAAATGACTTTTTTGGAAGTTCTAGACCTCGTACGGAAACAAAAATAGCACCATTAGATTCGCCGTGAAAAACTGCATCAGATAGACACCTTTTAAGGCCTTAACAACCAACTTCAAAATTTGACCTCACTTGACCTGACCTTGACCTAACCTCGACCTGAAATTCATCCAGAGGTGGTCCATATCACCTATTGAGTGTGCCTATTGAATTCTATGAGTAAAATGACCCATAAAACATGTGTCGCACATGCCCTTTTCTATATTTTGTTTTTGGTGACCTGACCTGACCTGACCTGACCTTGACCTTGACCTCTAAATGATATTTTATACAACAGATATTGCCTTGGTAGCCTAAGAACACGTTTTGGGCGATCAGTCTCAGTCCATGACTCCATTCTTCGGCAACTACGGTGCAAGGCCGATACTGTAGGAACTTGCAATTTGTACCCTTGACCTGACCTTGACCTTGACCTCAAACTTAAAATTAAGTACATGTTTTTAGTTGTTCGTGATAAGATCTTTCGATTGGCGTTTGAATTTTCCAAATCGGACCATTAGTTCGGGAGATAACAGGGGGGGGGGGGGTAAAATTTACCCCCCCCCCCCAGCCCCGCGCGTTCGGCTGGAGACCCCAGCCCCGCGCGGGTTAAAGCACGCTACGTGAACTTTACCGCTGTAGAATAGCAACGCGTATTTTTAGTCACACAAATTACACTTTTAACCCTATTCCTGGCGGGCTCCGCCGGGACAAGAAACTGGCGGGGGGGGCCGATTCGGTCCCCCCCCCCCTGAGATCTCGAGAACGAAGCAAGATAGC